CTGCTGCTGCAGTTGCTGCTGCTGCTGCAGTTGCTGCTGCTGCTGCAGTTGCTGCTGCTGCAGTTGCTGCTGCTGCTGCTGCAGTTGCTGCTGCTGCTGCAGTTGCTGCTGCTGCTGCACTTACTGCTGCTGCTGCTGCTGCAGTTGCTGCCTTATCCATTTTAATATAACACTATGTATTATTCTACCCACCCTAATGTGTATCACACTGCTATATGTTTACTATACAATTACGACACCATACATTACTCTGCACACTGCACCATGCCAGTGAGTGGAACGCGGTCTGAAAGTCACCGTAAACGTGAACACAATCAGTTAAGATCCGAAATGGTTTATTACGTCCTTCCAATGATTGCTAAGCCAGAATCCATCTTCTCGGTTGAAATTGTCTCTGTGTTTGTATATGTGGATCGCCTCATGAACGAATCTCTCATGATAGCCAGATGGCTTGCAGAGAACCTCTGTCTTGGAGAAGTCAATGTCATGTGAGCCCACTGAATTGTAACAGTGATCTGCCACGGCTGAGGTGTTTGTCCTACCGTGTTTCAGGTCTGCCTTATGTTCACGGATGCGGTCCGAGACATGTCGTTTGGTTTCTCCAATGTAACTGCTACCACAGAGGCAACTTAGTTTGTAGACGCCAGGGTACTGTATGTCTGGAACCACATCTTTTACAGACGGGACCAGATCACGGATTTTATGTACTGTGTTGAATCGGACCTGGATCTTGTGTTTAATCAGGATTTTGGAGATCTTTTTTGTGACCCCAGCAATGTAGGGTAAGGTGATGGTCTTGAAAGGCTCCTCAACAGGATCCTTCTTGATGGTTGGAGTGATGGCTTTGCGGATTGTGTAGTCGGAGTAACCATTAGCCTTAAGAGCTTGGCGTACGTGTTTGAGTTCACTGGAAATGTGTTCATGGTCGGAGATGCATTGGGCTCTATGATATAGAGTCTTGATGAGGGAATTCTTCTGGGATGGATGGTGGTGGGAATCCGGTTTTAGATAAGCATCCGTGTGGGTGGCTTTCCTGTAGACAGAGTGGCTCATTGAACCATCAGGTCTCCTTTTGATTAGGACATCCAAAAAGGGTAGCTTGCCATCATTTTCGACTTCCATGGTGAATCTGATGGCTGGGTGTATGGAATTGATGTGGTCGAGAAATTGGTCTAGAGCAGGCCGGCCATGTGGCCAGATGACAAAAGTGTCGTCTACGTACCTCTTCCATAAGGTCGGGCGTAGAGTGGCAGTCTGGATGGCGTCCGTCTCAAATTTCTCCATGAAGATGTTGGCTACAACCGGAGATAGGGGGGAGCCCATTGGGGTGCCCTCAATTTGCTTGTAGAAGGTTCCATTCCAGGTGAAGTATGTATTGGTTAAGCAGTGTCTCACCAGGGGGGGTACCCCAGCATTCAGTCCTTGATGAACCAAGTCTTCAATGATTGCGATGGTGTCAGGCACCGGCACCTTGGTGAACAAGGAAACCACATCAAAACTGACAAGTAGGTCGTCTGGGGACAGGGCAATCCCCTTGATTGTCGATACCAGGTCAGTAGAGTTTAGTACTGCAGAGGTGGTTTTTCCAGTGAAAGGCCGTAGGATTTCGGACAAAAAACGAGCCAGTTTGTAAGTGGGGGAGTTGATAGTAGAGACAATGGGACGAAGAGGTGTATCTTCTTTATGTATCTTTGGCAAGCCGTACAATCTTGGTGGCCTGGCTGCAGAAGGTTTCAACGAGAACTGTTTGGTCTGATCAATTAATGCGGTTGAAGCAGAAATGATGTTGTTGGTTTTGGAGACGAGGCTGTTGGTGGGGTCTCTTTTTACCACCTCTGCAGTACTAAACTCTACTGACCTGGTATCGACAATCAAGGGGATTGCCCTGTCCCCAGACGACCTACTTGTCAGTTTTGATGTGGTTTCCTTGTTCACCAAGGTGCCGGTGCCTGACACCATCGCAATCATTGAAGACTTGGTTCATCAAGGAACTGAATGCTGGGGTACCCCCCCTGGTGAGACACTGCTTAACCAATACATATTTCACCTGGAATGGAACCGTCTACAAGCAAATTGAGGGCACCCCAATGGGCTCCCCCCTATCTCCGGTTGTAGCCAACATCTTCATGGAGAAATTTGAGACGGACGCCATCCAGACTGCCACTCTACGCCCGACCTTATGGAAGAGGTACGTAGACGACACTTTTGTCATCTGGCCACATGGCCGGCCTGCTCTAGACCAATTTCTCGACCACATCAATTCCATACACCCAGCCATCAGATTCACCATGGAAGTCGAAAATGATGGCAAGCTACCCTTTTTGGATGTCCTAATCAAAAGGAGACCTGATGGTTCAATGGGCCACTCTGTCTACAGGAAAGCCACCCACACGGATGCTTATCTAAAACCGGATTCCCACCACCATCCATCCCAGAAGAATTCCCTCATCAAGACTCTATATCATAGAGCCCAATGCATCTCCGACCATGAACACATTTCCAGTGAACTCAAACACGTACGCCAAGCTCTTAAGGCTAATGGTTACTCCGACTACACAATCCGCAAAGCCATCACTCCAACCATCAAGAAGGATCCTGTTGAGGAGCCTTTCAAGACCATCACCTTACCCTACATTGCTGGGGTCACAAAAAAGATCTCCAAAATCCTGATTAAACACAAGATCCAGGTCCGATTCAACACAGTACATAAAATCCGTGATCTGGTCCCGTCTGTAAAAGATGTGGTTCCAGACATACAGTACCCTGGCGTCTACAAACTAAGTTGCCTCTGTGGTAGCAGTTACATTGGAGAAACCAAACGACATGTCTCGGACCGCATCCGTGAACATAAGGCAGACCTGAAACACGGTAGGACAAACACCTCAGCCGTGGCAGATCACTGTTACAATTCAGTGGGCTCACATGACATTGACTTCTCCAAGACAGAGGTTCTCTGCAAGCCATCTGGCTATCATGAGAGATTCGTTCATGAGGCGATCCACATATACAAACACAGAGACAATTTCAACCGAGAAGATGGATTCTGGCTTAGCAATCATTGGAAGGACGTAATAAACCATTTCGGATCTTAACTGATTGTGTTCACGTTTACGGTGACTTTCAGACCGCGTTCCACTCACTGGCATGGTGCAGTGTGCAGAGTAATGTATGGTGTCGTAATTGTATAGTAAACATATAGCAGTGTGATACACATTAGGGTGGGTAGAATAATACATAGTGTTATATTAAAATGGATAAGGCAGCAACTGCAGCAGCAGCAGCAGCAGTAAGTGCAGCAGCAGCAGCAACTGCAGCAGCAGCAGCAACTGCAGCAGCAGCAGCAACTGCAGCAGCAGCAACTGCAGCAGCAGCAACTGCAGCAGCAGCAGCAACTGCAGCAGCAGCAGCAACTGCAGCAGCAGCAGCAACTGCAGCAGCAGCAACTGCAGCAGCAGCAGCAACTGCAGCAGCAGCAGAAACTGCAGCAGCAGCAACTGCAGCAGCAGCAATTGCAGCAGCAGCAATTGCAGCAGCAGCAGTAACTGCAGCTCCCTTTGATGCTGTTAATCCTGCATAATGCACATGCATATGCAGTACTAATCACATTCCTGCATTTCCCATAAATATGCTAAATTCCTTTTGATATGCAAATTCCTTTGTCAATGCGCCCGGCTTATATATATGCTCCAAGCTCGTGTGCTGTTTCATTCAGACTCTGTCGCCTCGACGGACCTGGTTTTCACCTGAGGACGGCTGCTTGCGTTGTGGCCGAAACGTCGTGAGAATTGTTTTATTATGTTTTATTTTTATTATTTTATTACTTCCCTTCTACGTGACTTTACCGAAAGAACCAAGAAGATGAATCCCTGCAGTCACGAAAGCTTTAAATCGAAATTATTTGTTATTATAGCAGATAAGGCTCGCTCAGCTATAGAGCTCTTTTTTCAGAAGCGACGTGGCTTATAACCACGTGGAAAGACATCGCAGCCAAATACTCCACGCGCGTGATGTTGATTCCAAATGTGGAGGGAAAAACCGGAGGAACCGGGCAAAAATCCATGCGACCCACGGGGAGAACACGCAAACTCCAAATATACAGCAGGCGTCAGGGTTGGGATCGAACCCACGACTCCCTGCACACCAGGCGAGGTAGTTAACACCTCGCCACCCATTAGGACTGCATTGACGCTGCAGCTTGCGCGGTGGTGGGGGGTGGGGTGGGGTGGGGTGGGGGGGTAGCCCAATTTATATTTTAAATATATACATGTGCCGTCTTATAATAGTTGAAATGCATTACTCCCACGAAGATAATTTCTCGAGGTAATTTGATCATTAAAACCAATTGCACCACTACGAATGTATTGCTTCCAGTTACGGGCCAAATCTAACATCGTTTTTACTCTAGATTTGAAGCTTTCGTGACTGCAAGGATTCATACTCTTAGGTTTTTTTTCGGTAAAGTCACGTAGGTAAAAAATTAAAATAAATAATAAAATAATAGAAATCACGAGTAATTTATTATTTTATTTCTATTATTATTTAGATTATTTTTATTTTTTAACTACGTGACTTTACCGAAAAAAAATCTACGAGTATCGTTATAACTGTTCAGTAACGCTCGTGCACTTTGTACGTCACATTGAGAAACCAGAGAACTCATAATAACACAAGGTGGCTGCACCACGGGAGCGAGTGGTTGGCACTGGGCATGTGTGGAGGTGAACAAAATAATGCGGGAAGGAATCGAACGTGGAAATATAGCCCCCCCTCAAAATCATCATATCCCCAGGCACGCATATCAAAGTTAAGATTGCTCTACACCCAGCCAGTAGGTGGGGTTTGGGAGGTGCGTGCGTGTGCGGTGTTATCCTTTTTGCAGGGCTCCTAATCAAGAGAGCTGCGATCCGCCCAGTGCCCAGCCAGAACCCCTGGACGCAATCGGCTCCTCCTACGTACAACACCCACCCCACCACCTTCTTATGGGCAATGCAAGGCAGAGAGAGAGAGCAGAAACAGCAGTCGGTGGAGAGGGGGAGAGCGGCGAACAGAGAGAGAGAGAGACGCGGAGACTCACGGGGAGGAAGGGGCAGCACTTGTTGAGAAAAAGTTACTCGAGCAACCGATAAGAGAGAGAGAGACGCTGCAACTCGGATGGGACATAGGCTCGCACGTTTGTGTCACGCTCCATGTGTAGTCGATAGTCAAAGCAAGAGTAAGTAGCTACATCTCTAAGTAAACTAAACGTAACTAAAATACGACATCTATAGGTTAGGATATACATAAATACTTTTAGTCAGTAGATTTTGACGTTGGTTATTCGTGTAAAATTCACGAGATCTATACCGAATATATGTATATTCGATATATTCCCAACCATACACAGGCAACACAAGTATAACAACCTACACATTGTCTATTGTTGCATGGGTCGCATTATACAGGGAAAGAGTTCAGGGCAATCGTTCATAAAATAACATATTTTATAGATATGTTCCAGAACGCATATTGACATACATTCAGCAAATATTTTCTATTTAGCCTAACATCCGTTCTGTTAGTATCACGACAGTTGAGAGCACATTCACTTTGCTGAACCATAACCACACTTCAGCACAAGACCCATCGAGCATAGCTCCAGTGTGATTTTTTTGTAGCTCATCATTGTCCATCGAAGGTAGTTCAGTAGCGATGGGTCCTTTGTGGGCGATGGTGGCCCTGACGGTGGTGGTCGTGTGTGGAGCCCCGGGCATCCATGCGGGACCCATGATGAGCCAGGACCCGTTGGCGCTGTGGATAGACGCGACCCAAGCCCGTGACCTGATCGGTAAGAGCCTGCATGCCACAGCGGCACCGTGACACTTTAACAGCTGGGGTGGCAGCCCATTCATTTAGCTGTCACTAAAACACGATCGACTTTGTGTTTTGCCAGGTAAGGCCCACTGAGCTGTGTAGCTGTTTTTCAGAAGCCACCTGGCCACAAATGATAGCTCAACGAAGTGGCTTCTCGTGTGGAAATGTACAGCAGCCGAATACTTCAAGCGCATGTTTCTAAATGTGGAGGGGAAAACCGGAGGACCCGGAGAAAAATCTATGCGATTACGGAGAAAGAGATATGCAAACTCCAAATATCCAGGCGTCATGGTCGAGATCGAACCTACGACCTCCTGTATAGCCGGCGAGGTAGTTAACATCTCCTAGCCACCGCGACAAAGCGCTCGCTCAGTTTTCGTTGATATTTTCAGGAAACCCCCATTGAAGCTGAAGGGTTTATATTTCAAGGGAGAATGGACTGGCGTGGGACGGTGATTTTCTCCGTTAATTGTTCTAAGCCAGTGGTGGAAATTCCACAATCCCATGCCAGAGACCGCTCCATCTCTTGGCATAATGTGCATGAGTAATGTAATGTCGAGCGTTATAGGTTATGACGAGTTCACCGCTCCTTCTCCGGGCGTGATTCCTTCCTCCTGTGGCTGTCACTCCGTCGCACGTCTCGACAACAGGCCGTCATCATCATCATCATCATCCTTTTCCAGCTTCTGCCCGTACAGAAATGAAGTGCAGAGTGACCAGCAGCATTCATTGAACTCGATATTTCAGTCACGGTGTCGAGGACGGTGACCATATCTTGGTCAGCGTTGGACCTTTAAGGATTAAAAAAGAAAGTTGTAAGCAATGCAGGAAAGCTGTCAAGAGTTGAAAGATCATGACGAAGCAATTTGTGCGCACTATATGGTCTGGCAATATTGAGTAGTCTGCACAATATCGTCTTCATTGACATTTATTTACCTTGGAGGTTACTTTTTCCCAGGACCTGAGAAATACTTCTTCTAGTATAATCGTATTTGTCTTGGCAACCGTATGAAGTCTATACTATTTAATGAAATTACACTGTATTTAAACCAGGTGCCAATCCTTTCAGACGAAATGTCATGTACATATATATAATACAATTATCGCATTTTTCTATGATAAATCGAAAGCCTCGAATCAATCAGTTGCTGAACGAATGCCTTTCCCATGCTGACGTACTTATGGGAGTTATTCCACCATACTTCACCACGGTCCATACATCACTCGGCTGAGCATGCACGCATAGTTCAATACGTAAATCGCCAATCTGATCATCAGCCGCTATCTATCCACCGCTGGATGTAGAAATCCCTGAGTCCGTTGCCATCTCTCACGATCATTCGACGCAACAGCCCATCCGCCTCCTGCACCCGGTCCGATTCCATCGCTCCGTCTCCTGGGACGCGCCGTCGCGCGCAAGACTCGGATTCAGATGGCGGTGGTCAAATGTCGAGACAGTGTACAGCATGAACGTCGACATCGCTAGCGTGATTTCGCAAGTGCATGTTTGCGTGCATGCTTAATGCATTCGTATTTAAGTGGAATTGATCGCTCTTCTCCGCAGACCCTGAGTTACACGTGCGATTTTGTTCGTGTGTTTGTTTTCTAATAATCTCACCGATCTTAATCGTCTCTGTTTTTGCTTGTGCACCCAATACTTTTCGCACGTTGTCATGAGTTCTACCAGCCGTGTTGTATTGTGTCTGCTGGTTGTACCGTGATGTTGATGCACGATATTGCCATTCGCAACTTGACTACAGCTTTTGGAGTGTTTCTGTCCGCGTTGTTTTGCTGTAACCAGGGTGTCTATGCTATATGTACCCATCAATCTATTGCCCAATGAGTTTTACCTGCGCCCAAAATAAACGAGACCATCACCAAAGGATCGGTAGCTTAACACCGTTTTTTTTCAAATATCTCATCGCATCTGACAAGACTCTGCTAGACGCGCAACACGTGGCTGATTTGGACAATGCCGCTTCACCATGTCCGATGCTCTATCGGCGCCAGAGAGCACGGGAAGGGATTTCATTATTTGCAGATGGATACACTCGTCTGATGATGCTGCTGCTGCTGCTGCGTTGTTAACGATGAGAATGCTGGGACTTGCATTCCAAAGGTCGCCGGTTCGATTCGATCTCCTGGCGCGGCTGTTTAAAATGGGAGAGGTGTCTTGAATCTCACCGGCGCTGTCAAAATCAAATGGACACACACCACAGCAATATTGGAATGTCACGTGTGGTGGGGTAAAGTGGGGGGTATACCTCTTAGAAGATGTTGGGCCAGTGTGGAAGAGTGGGCAGAATTACTTGTAAATGGGCTTGGTTTAACACGCAGGCTTTCGCGACAACTATCATTCATAATAGAGGGTTTTTTGCGTTAGATCGATTAAATATAAATGCGTCGTTAAATCCGTCACCACCCGACACAACCAATTGGTAAAGTTTGTCACGTAAACAAAACGCGACAATTAGTTACTACTTCACCACACCGGTGTGTTGGAGAGTAAACCTCCAACATTTACAATTCGGGTACTGTGACGTTTAGCTGGTAATTACTAACCAACTTCATTAGGCGATCAGCCAGAATCGTGAAGAAATCTCCCTCATTCGGTCTCCATAGCTTCTGTTAGCGAAGTCCCCTTCCGCCAGCAGTGGCTTGAGCAAGCAATTGCAGGGCTGTGCCTTTATCTTTGCGTTTTAATTTTTTTTACAAACACACACTGGGCTTTGGTAGGACACGTCGCTATGGGGGGCACGATGGCCGATGGCCGGTGGTCGAGACTTGCGACGGAGCGACAGCCAAAGGTGAGGTTAGGAGGGCGAACGATCGAGAGAACGCCCAACGAGGAGATGGAGCCCTGGTATCGGCTCGCGTGATCTTGGAGTTGTATGGAATGATGTTGAATTGCGATGGTTGGTGGCTCGGAGAGGCCTTCTTCATCGAGCAGGGGATGGATCGCAGCTCCTGCTGCTGCCGATGATGCTGATGACGCTGCGGCATTGATGAGCGATCGTCTCAGTCGACGGATCAGGACCGACGGTGAAACTTTCCACGTTCCCATGGCGGGAGTGGGTCAGTTCCATCGGACAGTTGGCTGTTGATTTTCCATATGAGTGTAAGAACTTCTCATGTGCTGGACCCCCGGTTTTGTCAGGCGGGTGAAAGTGGAGGGGAGGGGAGGGGCAGGACAACATTGGGTTCGCTGCACATGCCCTCTACGATCAACACAGACAAAGATCCCGCACCCCCCCATACCGTGTAGCCTAAACAGACTGCTGGGGAAAGTGTCATTAGCAAGCACCTATGAAGGCCGTCATGGCACATGAGGGGGTGGGTGGTCAGCACCACGACCGGCCGCCTTTGTCTCCCCGGTGGTGATGTATACATATTGCACCAGGTACTCGTTTGAGGCCGAATCGACCTCGGGGAGGCCCTGCACCGTTTCAGACAATCGTCACTGATGTCGACCGTGAGCGGGTATCGAACTCGGATCGCTGGGTTCGTAGCGCAGCGTGAGGCGCTAACCGCTCCACCACCGCTCTATTACCAAACAATGCCAACTGCGCATGCAAAGCCCGAGGCGGTCACTCATTGAACCGCCCATGGTGGCTAACTATCCAACCGCTATCCAGGCTCTGGCCTGCTTAGCTTCCGAGATATGATGAGGTTGGGCACATTCCGGGTGATTTGGTCAAAACGGATTGTCGTGTGGACATACGAGATATGTGGTATTTTGGAAGTTAAATATTGTCCTGCTGAATACAAATCAATTATGCATGCAGATACATGTGGTCTGCTTATTTATTTCATTGCGAGGTTGGCCAGATGGCTGCACAGCAATCGATTTTCTTGAATCCATCTGTGCGGAGCGTGAAGCCTTACATGGGTGTGTGTGGGGTTTCTCCAGACACTCCACAAGCTTCCTCCCGCATGAAATAAAATGCTCATCTGATGGAAATTGCAAAAAGATCCTAACTTGGTAGGACCCTCCGGGAAAAAAAGAGTTTTGAGATTCAGAGAGATTTTCTTGGGTTCAACAAAGGGCATTAACACCTTGCGTGTTACGTGTCGATATGAAAAACACTTCCAAGCGTTCAAAGATACATTTGACAACGAGTTAATAACACCTCGACTGCGTAGGTACTGAATAGCGTAGGCAAGCCAACGTCGGTGTTTTAGTGTGTTAACAAGACACTCGGCACATCGGCTCGTATGCGTGTAGAGTGCGTTGAATGTGTAGAGTGCGTTGAACTTCTTTCGCACCGTACGTGGCCACCCGTGCTCATCGGAGGAGCGGCGGACGGACAACAAACTAACACCGTTGGCCTTTACAGGGAAAATTAATTAATGTAAATATATATAAATAGGTGACGTTTTGGGTAACGGCCCTTCTTTATAGCACACGGGCTATTAGATATCTATTCTATGTTTTAGTTTGAAGACCACTTTGTTCTTTAACACGTAGGAAGCTTTCGCGATCAATATCATCCACAAAAGAGGTTTTTTAGTTTAGATCGCGTAAATGTATAAATTTGTCGTCAAACCCGCCACCACCCGACACAGCCAACTAGTAATGTTTGTGACGTAAACAGAACGTGCCAAATCGTCACGAGTACAGCACTAACCGGTGTGTTGGAAAGCCAAGCCACTCCGACACACCGGCGTGACAAACCTTACTCATTGGCTGTGTCAGGTGGTGGCCGGTTGAACGACACATTTATATCATTACGCGCTCTAACCCAAATAAACCTGTATTATCACTGTATCATTGACGGATGTGTTGGGTGTTAGTTGTTTGTGCACCACTGCCAACGCAGTACTATCACCAAATAATGTTCCGTCTGATGGGTGGACTGGCTCACCGTCATAGTCATGTGGAATGCCCTAAATCGGCTCAAGGCTGCGAACGTAGATGCCTTGGGCTGTGGAACCCGGAACAGGAATCCTCCTCCTCAACACATTCCTGCGGAGGGAGCTGGTAGGAACGTTGGGTTGCTCGGTCAATGTGCCAATGTCAACGGCTTCGTGGTGTATTCCGTAAATATGCCCGACTGTGAGGGGGAGTAGGTTAAACGTTGAGTTTTATAAGGGCACCACGTGGTGACCAGCCCCTCCCCACCCAGCCCCACCCCTCCCACCCCCCACCCAGATGAAAAATGGGTATTTTGTCAATCCAATCCAAACTCTTTTTTTTTACAATTGACAATAAGTTGCCTTTCGAAATGTCGCGCAGGCTTGGAGGAGAACATCTACATCGTCTCCGATGGGAAGATGGCCCCGTTCACGCACGACTTCAAGAGGGCGCAGCAGAGAATGCCGGCCATCCCAAGCACCATCCCCTCCATCAACTTCACGTGGCAGGCTGCCAGAGAGGTGTGGCAGCTTTACGACACCTATCATGCACGGTGACAGCCCATCCATACAACACTCCGAGGCTTTAATCGAGGTTCGAGCATCTTTAGATTGCAGGATCTTAAGAGACCGTTTGCATTACGGGTGATTTGGTTGGAGGCAATTTGTGATTACTGGACTTCTGTGAAAAAAAACGTTATAGCTGATCGGATTCCTCCAGTATCAGATTACGATTACAAAGGGTACCCAGATACATTGGTATAATCACTCCTCTATCTAAGAATTTATATATAAAAAAGTGTACCCATGTATTGTTCTCTGGCTGTACCGCGTGTTGTTTGGCACGGTGTCTGACGTTTCGCTCCACGTGCTGAGATGGTGGGCAGAGATATCGCACAGCACGAACGGGCTAAGTCAAGGTGGGAGGGGAGGGGGATTCCAGACCATGGGGGGCAGCGCGGCGTAGGATAATCAGCGACCTCTCACCGAGCACGCGGAGCGAAACGTCGGACGTCATAACAACCGTGACCCCCCCCCCCACCATCATCACCGCACGTACGGCGCTGACCGCGAGAATCGACTGGAGAGTCGTCAGCCCCCATGGTGCATTGCGGGTGGCACCCCAACGTGAGCACGGAGAGCCGCACCCAGCGAGTAAATGTGGGGGGCACTGCCTGCCCGAGAGAGGACGGAGGTCGGGACCAGAGGATTGACACCCAGTGCGTAAACCTAGCAGGGAGCCTGCGACGAACAACATCTGATGTGTCAATTCACTGCCATGTGTTTAAATGTACTGGCTAAATGATGTCGGCGTTGGCGAACGATGAAAGGCTTCTCCGTGACTGACGCGGTGGTTACTTGGAGATCCAAGGCGGTCCGTGTTTGCGGTTAAGCTGCTGGCAAGACGACGACGATGATGAAGTCTTCATGATGATAATGTCACGATGGTCAATTTCACGAATTGAGGGGGAGGGGGGGGTTACGTTTGACCCGTCGCCGCTTTGCTCCTCGCTTTGGAAAATGTTTGTGGCACGTGGAGTAGTGGCGCAGCGGTTAACGCACCGCGCTCCGAGTTGGAACCCCCACCCAATGCTTCCACGAGTGGCGAGAAAGATTAAAACCAGTCCGGTGATCTTTAATTACACCAGCCCGTGCTGACCGGTGCGGTGTGAAGTTTTGTAAAACAATAATCCCAGATTGGGGATGCCTTCATCCAGCAGTGGATTGAGAGAGGGCTGCACATTAGTCATTCGTATTTATATTAAGCAATCAACTTATTTTTCTTGTTAGAAATATGAATTAAAAAAATGGGACTGATTAAATTAAAAAAACTCGATGAAGAAACTAAACCCGTTTTGGGTCGCGTGCTGTCCGGCACCATGTCCGACGTTTCACTCCACACGCCGGGGGCGGTTCTCTTCAGCGCCCGGCGCCAAATGTCGGATATCGTGACATCGTGCCGACCGACAAAGACGCACACGGGCACGCAATACGATGCAACAAAAAAAAACCACGTCTGAGATCGATTATAAGAGCACAGCCGCGAGAAAACCACTCGGCGCTGGAGCTTCACGAAAAACATTCCAACACGCGCGAGGATCACGTGGAGTCAAACAACGTGGATGTGAATGCATATGGTTCAATTGTCCGCGAACTCTGGGGCAGCTGGTGAAAAAAAAGTTAAAAAAAACAATAAACCTCCATGCACCCCCTCCCGCCGCCGTATGATCCGTATTATCTTTTATCAACATCGAGGCGCTCCCAGTGGGAAGGAGGAGCATGAGCGGGCGGGGGTGAGCCCTGAGACTCGGCGCTGTGCACGGTGAGGTCACCGCTCAGCCCATTGATTAATGACCCCACTACCCCCCACCACCCCCACCACCCCCACCCCACCTCGTGTGCGGCGCAAATATGCGCCCCCCCCCCTCAAAGGGAACGTGCCACATTCGCAGCAGTGCCGCGAGCCACGTGGGACCGCTTCGAGCGGTGAAGTTATTTGTGAGGTCGCTACGAGCCGCTGGAGTGCTCGCGGAGAGGAGAGTGGCAGGCAGCATGGGTGTCGTCACCCCCCCCCCCTCCAATTCTCCCCCGGGGTTTCTGGAGAATTTGCGGGGAGGGCGCAGGAAACAAACAAATCATCGCTCTATAGCTACGAGACTTTTTTTTGACACTATCAAAACTCACGATGAGACCTCCTTTACCAGTGGCAAAATATAGTAAGAGGTTTTTACCCTTTCAACTGGTACAAAAACTGACACCTTTATACAAGGCATCATGTTTGCAATAAGCACAACACAAGCAGTCAAAATGCAAACAAAAAGAAACAACTCTGATGATGATAATGATATGCACTGTCCTTGAAATTGATTGCTCCACACCCGAGACAGATTTTCTTAGAGCCTAGTCTCCATTGGTGTTGGACCAGATGACGCCAAAAGGCGTACAACTCGAAAAACAGTGCACTATCAGAGTATTGAGAGGTCGGGTAAGCATTTACATTATGAGACCTCCTTTACCAGTGGCAAAATATAGTAATAGGTTTTTACCCTTTCAACTGATACCAGTTGAAAGGGTACCAGTTGAAAGGGTAAAACCCTATTACTACAGTATCAAAACTGATGAAAAAACTGTACCCTGTTCAACGCGTAGGCTTTCGCGATCAAATCTGGCTGTCGCCTGATGATGCTGGTTGTAATTACTGGCGACACGTCGTCCTCGAATTGTAATTGTTGTGAGTTTACTCTCCAACACACCGGTGTGCTGTACGCTAGTAACGAATTGGCACGTTCTGTTTACGTGACAAACCTTACTAATTGGCTGTGTCGGGTGGTGGTGGGTTTAATGACACATTCATATTTACGCGATCTCACCCAAAAACAGCTCTATTATGTTATATACCCTTTCTGGCAATGAAACAGAAGGTGTTGAGATGTCCACACATCAAATAGATGCCGATTGCGAGACATCAAGTCCGCATCAGCTACGTGTACTTGTGGCGAAACACGCGAACGGACATGCTCTGACAATACTGTACATGCATTGTCTGTGAAACCGATTGGCCTAGGCCAGAGACAGGAGCCGTCTTTGTGGCATTGTCTCGCCTCGAGTGTCAGATCAGAGGACGCCAAAGCGAGTTTGTCGCTTTGCTTTATCGCACAGGGAAGAGCCCGTGACCGCGGACGGAGGCTGTGCTCGTGTTGTGTATTTATGCGCTGGCCTCGCAGTTCCATTCCTTTCCTTAAGACCGCCTAAGGGACAATTTTGGACCAGACGTCTCCTTTGCCAGGGAGATCTGGCGAAAATGCCTCGTAATGGCAAATGAGATTGGAGCACGGCAGATTAAAATGCGGAGATAAATACCGTCGAATACAGAGGGCACTAACAGGATCCCACGTGTAAACAACAACGAAGCAAAATTAAGACTCAATTCAACGGGGAGCAAAATATGGAACAGTTAGAAAGGAAATACAACGAGTCAACCTGAAATACAATTCAACATCGATGTGAGGTGGCACGTTTCGGATTGTGGGTTATTTATTTATCTGTGCAGGTGGGTGGAGCGTTAGCGCATTCCTGAGCGCGCTTGTTACGAACCCCAGTAACGTGAGTTTGATTCCAGGGCACGGCTTACATCAGTGGCGGGTGACATCTGAATTGGCCCTGGCTGCCCTGCCGCCCCCACCTCCTTAACCCGATACACTATTTAAAACTAAACTATTTTTGTTATTTTTTTTTACCAGGTAAGGCGCACTGAGCTATATATGGCTCTTTTCCAGAAGCGACTTGGCCACAAATGACAGCTCAACGAAGTGGCTTATTACGTGGGAATTTACAGCAGCCAAATACTCTAAACGTGTGACGTTCATTCGAAATGTAGAGGGGGAAAACCGGATGGCCTGGAGAAAAAAATCCACCACGGGGAAAAAGAGACACGCAAACTCCAAATATACAGCAGGTGTCACGGTCGGGATTGAACCCACGACCTCCTGTATACCAGGCGAGGTAGTTAACATCTCCTAGCCACCGTGGCCGCACTGACCAGCGTGGCGAGGTACGGTCAACAACTCCATGATCAACTCGGCGTGGGCGGGGAGGAGCTACACTCAACAGTTGGATTGGTAAAGTGTGCAAGCGATAAACATTAATTATATTCCATAATAGTTTTTTTTTAGGGTTAGATCGCATAAATATATAAATGTGTCGTTAAAACCCGCCACCATCCGACACAGCCAACTAGTAAAGGTTGTCACGTCAACAGAACATGGCAATTTGTCACTTAGAATTTTGTATTTCTACATATTTAATTTTACATATATTATTTTTACATATTAAGACTTGAAAGTATTTCTAGGTGGGGTGACGGATTTGGAGGGAGGCTCAGGCTGTGGTGGTTTGTTTGGTTGATTGCGGTTCGCGATAGAGCGTTGTATCATGCGTGACACGTTCCCTCCTCCGCTCCCTGCATTCTCGAGGGGACTCGCCTCTTGCTTGACCCCGCGTCAGATGAAAGGAGAAAACGTCGCGTTTGGATCCGTTTCCAAATTATTCCACGTGGAACATGCAAACGCCCTCTTGGCCTCCACGTAACGCCTGGTGGGGGGGGGGAGCGTTACGTTTGGAGCAACGTGTGGCCCTTTCTCGTCAATCCACTGCTGGATTAAAGGCCTCCCCGTGCCGCGCTGCTCGTAAAGTTCGGTCGACCGTACTTCGCCACGCCGGTAAGCGCGGGCTGTTGAAGCGAAGGGCCGGGACTGGTTTAGATATCACGCGCCACTCATGTGAGCCGTGGCTGTGAAATCGAACGCGGGCGACGCGGCGCGCGACAAAAGCGCAGCGCCACCGCTCTCCCCCCCCCCCTCCCCCCCCCTCCCAGCTCAGAACAAATGGGAAGCACATTTGCCTTCCCCGGATAGAAATGCCGGAGTTTAATTGCCAAGGTTTCCCCATTTCCCAGGAAAATCATGAATCTCAATAGGGCCGTCACCTGGCAAGATAAAAGGGCACCGCGTTGAATGAGCGGTGGTTCGCCGGGTGGATCTGCCGTTGGGATCGCGCTTTGAAGGCCAAACGAGCGATCCATCAAGGCCGCCGCTTTGGGCTCCGTTCAATTGGTGCGGCGGCACTAATGCTGGGGTCAAGTGTGATGTATGCCCCAGGTGCACGCCATCAATATCGGGGGAAGGGGCGGGGGCGGGGAACAACCTCCCAACACAGTCGGGGAATGGATCTTCTTTCTTTCTTTCTTCTTCTTCACGGCTCATGAAGAATGCGCTGTCTGTGAATAAGAAGGACCGTCGCCATAACCGTCGCCTATTTTACATACGTAACTCGGGGTTGTTCGGAGGCGCCTGCGGCACCCCTCACAATCATTTACGGCCTTCGGCCAGGAAAGTCACGAAAAAGATTGCACGCGAATGACGCATTCACGCAAGCACCCGATGCTCCGTTTTGAAGTTTTAAAATGAAACATCTTTGAATTGTATTATGTTTTGAATTAGATAATTGTATTTCTTCACTAAAAGCTTATATCGTTTTACATCTGGAAGACTTTATTGAAAAGGACATTTCGTGTGAATTTTCTCTCGTCGTTAAGTAGGTAGCCTTGCTGGGGGTTTGGTTCGATGCGGATTTTCGCCTGTTTCGGATTGCGTGATCGGGATAAGGTGACACAGAGCTGCTGACAATGTGAGAAGACCGCCGTCTGCAGATCGATTCCAACGTGATCGAACGTCTGTCCCTGCGCCTCCGTCGTTCATGCAGGGGGCGCGTAGGTTTGCAGCGCCCCCTGCAGGAAAACGACGGGAAGTGCAGCGTTCATCACAGATAAAGTTGTGCGCTTATATAAGAGTATTTTTTGTTAAGGCCGCAGTGTCATTGACTTATTTTGTGCTATTTGTACGTATGCACCGCTGCACCGCAGCAGCAGCAGAATAACGAGATAATTCGTCGCTATTGGGGTGTGCTTCCAGGGCCAGGTGCGGGAGGGTGTGGGAGAGAGGGCGGGGGGAGTTCCCACACAAATTGAAATTGATGGAAGAACCCAAAGAGACGGAAGAAATGCGTGCCGGCCAGACACGAATGATGAGACGCACAGAGATGAAGCGTTTTGAACTGCAACGCAAAAACAGGAAGCCCCACGTCATCTCGCATGTCAAGATCACATGGGCATTCCCTCTTTTATCTGGGAGACGCTACCAATTATATATTTATATATATACAGCCTGTTGTACTATAACGCCGCGTGTTTTCGTATTAGGGAACACGTTTTTATCATTTTTACAACGCGGATGCGAATTGGATGCAACGCGACCGAGTGAACGGAACTACGTGGCAGCGCGAGTCGGAATAAGCGGTCGTACGGCTGCCTCGGCATAGCGTCATCGCACAGGGCATTGGGATGCTGCTGGATGCTTCTAGATGCTAATCACCACGCGCCTCGGTCTTGGTTCAGCCTACGCGTCTCACGCGTTATCGCGGACTGTGCTTTAACCCTACATTATATGTTGTTTATTATAACGCGACTTTTCCACAACGCGGCGTTCTTCAGGAACGCAACTGCCGCCTTGTCTGTCCCTCGCGTTGTTACCCACGAGGGAGACTCGCCGAGTCTCAAGACTCCTTTTGTCGCACCGGCAGTCGGAGTACTTCTACGAGTTCCAGCTCATGAGGTCCTTGGACGAGGACATCATGAGCCACCCTGTGGTCAACATCCCAGCCCTGGGCACCATCCCGAACGAGCCATCTGGTGGGTCTCTCTCTCTCTCTGTGTCTCTCCCTTTCTGCACATCTCTTATGGTATTGGAAGAGCCGCTGGTAAACCGTCTTTTCCGTGGTTGGTAATCCGTTCGACGGCAATGAGTTGCTTGACGTGTTAAGTGGATCGCACCTCGTACGACGAGCAATGGGCTGTTTGAACAAATTGCGCTTTGCCACATTCCGGTGGGCACTCGAGGAGACACAATTGGGTGGTGGTGGGGAGGGGGGAGGGGATTACTGATACCTTGGCAGGCACAGCACAGGTGATGCTAAGCAGCGAACAAGTGACAGTGTTCGCACACTACCGCCCGAGCGGCGAGCAGCAGCGAGCAGCACAAACACATTTTGTTTCTGGCAAGGTGGATGGAATGGATGCGCTGATGCCAAGCGATATCAACGGGTTCGCAGCATGTGGCACAGTGCAACACGAACACCTGCCAGGGTTCCGGTAGCGTAGCTGGCCGACGGGGTGGCGCAGGCGGTCCAACTGCGCCGTCGAGGTTCACGGGCCGGAGGCAACCGAGGCACCAGTAATTATAACCAGCGACGGCGACGGCCAGATTTTCAGGCGACGGCCAGATTTTGAAACGTCGTACTCGGATTGTAAATGTTGTGGCTTGGCTCTCCAACACACTAGTACACTGCGCTATACACTACACACTAGTGCTGTACTAGTACACTACACTATACACTACACTATACACTCGTGTTGTACTAGTATACTACACTACACACTAGTGCTGTACTAGTATACTACACTGTACACTACACACTAGTGCTGTACTAGTGACGAATTGGCACGTTCTGTTTACGTGACAACCCTTACTGGTTGACTGTGCCGGGTGGTGGCGGGTTTTAACGACACATTTATATATTGACGCGATCTAACCCCAAAACTAAAACCTCTCTATTATGGATGATATTGGTCGCGAAAGCCTCCTCCTCCTACTACTACTAGGCGCGAAACGTTCTCATTCTTGTCATCGTCGCCAAAAGCCTCGCACGGACTTCTAACGGATGCCTCGCCCCGCGTGGCGTCGCGCAGTGGTACAGGTGAGCTTCCCGTGCCTGGCCTCCCAGGAGGGGGTGGCCGCCTTCAAGGCCATCGTGCAGATCATCAACCAGGACGGCGACATCGTCCTGAGCACGCCCGAGAACGCCATCTTCTTCAAAGTGTGCAAGAAAGGTGATCGTCAACCACCCACACCACCCCACCACCCCCCCAACCCCACACACCCACCACCACACACCACCACCAACCACCACCACCCCACCACCCCACCACCCACACCCACCACTCCACCACCAACCCCCCCACACTCCCACCACCCCACCCCACCACACCCCACCACCCACCCCAACCCCACCACCACCACTCACCACACACCCACCACCCCACCACCACCACCACACAACACCACACACACCCACCCACCACACCACCCCCACACCCCACCACCCCACACACCCACCACCCACCCCACCACACCACCACACCACACCCCCACCCCAACACCCCACACAAACCCACCACCACCCCACCCCCACACCCTACCACCCCCACACCCCCCACACCCCACCACCACCCCACCACCACCACACCCCCACACCCCCCCCCCAACACCCCACCCACCTCACCCCCACACCCCACCACTCCACCACCACACCTCCCCCCAACACCACAACACCACATCCCTCCCACACCCCACCACCCCAATACACCCCACCACCCCGGCGACGGCTCGGCCACTCGCGGGACCGCACACAAATGAACTTTGCGTTCTGTTTGACCTCCGTCTCAAACAAAAAAACCCGGTGGCGCGACATCGCGACCGTCCGAGCGAATCACTTCGGCGCCGTCACCGCGGGAAGGGCGCTCGCAGGGACCACGGCTCGCGCGCCGCGGCGTTCTCGCTCGAGAGCCGCGTGCTCGAGTCTCCCCGCCGTGCGCTCCCCGACCACGGAAACACGTCCAGCGGAACGCCGTGGGGCTCTTTTTAAATCTTTCTCTCGCCTTTGACGGCGTCGTGGCGGGGCGAACGTCGTTTGACAAACCAACTGGTGGCGGCGCGCAATCGAACGCGAGTCCGGCAGTGCCGCCGTCTTCGGGTGAAACATCGCAAGGCTCCTTATTTATATATATATATACTTATATATATTTACATGTATTACATCCATGGATCTCTTAGACAGTTATGTTGCCCTCGTGTTTGGGTTTTCATTGGCGGCTCTCAGCATCTCGAGAGCCTGCCGTGCAGTTGTGATGCGATTTATAAATAACAAGTGGCAATGACGATGATGATGACTGCCCTAATGTTGCTGCCCCCCCCCCTGCTGCCCCCCCCACCTGCCCGTGTGTAGCCGGCTGCAAGGAGGGCTGCATGAACGGAGGCGTGTGCACCGACCGCGACACGTGCGACTGTCCGGACGGGTTCTTCGGGGCGAGCTGCGAGAAAGGTGGCAGTGCCGTGCGGCGAGACGGAGCTCCCTGGTTCTGTGCGACGGCGTCGTTGTCCCGATGAGCAGGGGTGTCGGTGGGGGGCATGGGGGGGGTGGTGGTTTTCGGCTCGCAGGCCCAACGTAGGCACCAGGGTGCTGATATTTGACTCTTTGGTACGGAGGCGTCACGACGGTTTAAACTTCAGCGCGATATTGAAGGCGATCATCGGTTACTCCCACGCGGCCAAACACGCACGACAGCTTCCCCGCGTGCGTTCGTTCGGGTTGCTGGCAGCTTCTTCCGCAGGGGACCACAGAAGAAGCTTTCGGCACGTGGGAACGAAACCGTCGGTACCTACGGCATCGAATTAATACCCGGCACAAGTCCAAACACACGCCGGAGAGCTGCGCAGTACGACCGCGAAATACATGCAGCGCGGTTGTACTCACGCGTGGACGAGCATCCCAACACATGGGGCCGCCTGCAACCAGAGTCTTGAGACTGAGCGAGGTTTTTCCCGGGCCAATGAAGCGAATCGTTATTCTGCAGTACAATGTTGGGATTGATATGGCGCATACATTCCGACTGGGTCTCGAGACGCTGTACGGAATAAGTTGGCCTGAAATATATTTTTAATGCACATAGAAGCAGCGGGAGAGAGGCAGAGAAAAGAAGGAAGGACTTTAGCCCGGACTTGAATAGGGGCAGGGATTCAACAGCACGGATTGCTGGGGGAGGGGAGCTCCAGACTGTGTGGGCAGTGGAGGAGAATGAGCGATCTCCCTGTGGGTGGAGTAACGAGCCCGTGCCTGCGCGTGTGTCCGTGGCGGGAGCAGCTCTGTGTGCCCCCCGCTGCATGAACGGGGGGCTCTGCATCACCCCTGGACTCTGTCTGTGCCCCCCCGGATTCAGCGGCGTCTACTGTGAGAACGGTGAGCCCCCCCCCACCATGCGCCCGCCCCCCCCACCCCGCAGCGACACCACGGTCGGGTCGGGGTTCAGTTCGGGGTTAGACCGGCTTCCCCTGGCACCATGAGTTGATGGTCTCAGCCCGGTCACGAATGACCGTACAAATAATATAAAATCCATCACGTAGCATTTGGTGTTGCACTAAATTGGGCTAAATTCCATCACTGAGAATTACATGTATCTGCTTGACTCCTCGTGTGACGAGGGGAAGCCCTGCCGCCCCCCCTCCTGCGTGGCACAGAGGTCACCTGAAGGGATCTCTGTGGTAGCTCCTTGATATCCGCTTCTGGGGGCCGTGCTCTATCACGGGAGGGGTCGCGCGCCTCTGCGAGAGATCTGAATGGATTCGACGTCTTGTGGCCTGCAATTCCTCCGGCTTCTCTGGGTTTTTCTTACCATCGCTAAACAAAAGTACAGCGTCACTGGCATTGGAGCAAAAACTGCGAAAACATGGCAAGACCCTCCTGAAAAAGAGCCTTGAGACTCGGCGAGGCTTTCCTGGGCAAACAAGCATAATGATAAGAAATAATAATTTAAACTATAAACTGGAAAACCTTTTTAATTTTACCAGGTAAGGCCCACTGAGCTACGGTAGCTCCTTGTCAGATGCTACCTGGCTACAAATGATAGCCCAACGAAGTGGCTGATCACGTGGAAATTTATAGGCAGCCAAATTTTCTAAATGCACGTTTTCTAAATATGGAGGGAAAAACCGGAGAACCCGGAAAGAGACACGCAAACTCCAAATATACAGCAGCAGGCGTCAGACTCGGAATCGAACCCACCACCTCCTGCATACCAGGCGAGGGAGTTAACATCTCGCTCGGGAGGATGGTGAATCTTGAAATGTCACGCGCAACATCCGATTGACTTTTAAACGAATGCCAGCGCGAAAGCCCTGCGGGTTTGGTTGTTCAGCTGCCTCCTCGCTCGCCCGTGTTGTCCTTCCTCAGCCAACTGCAGCAACAGCTGCCTCAACGGCGGCACGTGTCACCACCACGGCAAGTGCGTGTGCCCGCCCGGCTTCGACGGCAGCCACTGCGAACACAGTACGCACGCACGCACGCGCGCCCACCCAGCCACCCAGCCACCCACCCCGCAACCCACCACCCACACCGACGCACCGCACCGGCAAAATGGTCACAGCGCATCGGGCTCCGCTCACCGATCTGAACACACAAGCACCCACCCACCCTCCTCTCCGCTCACCACTACCCACCACTAGTCACTTGGGGGGGGGGGGGGGGTGGGCAACAGCCGCGTGCCCACAAACAACCGGACGGGAATTGTCGACCGTGCACACTAACTGATGTGTCACATGATACTGGTGTCACCATCATCATCGACTAATCATTATAAACTCGGTTTTCTATAGCGCAATTCGCACGAGGCCTCAAGCGCTTATTTTCAGCCATGGTCAATCCACTGCTGGATGACGGCCCCCGTCCCTTTAACCAAGCCGCCACCGCCACTTCTGGTGATTCAGCGATGTCACGATCTCACCCGAGGTGCCGGCTTCATCACTCCATCTCCAGTCCTCTCGGACTCGCTACATTGCTGTGCCGTCACCTGCTTTGGGCTGTGACGCACCCTGCCCAAGTTGTTCTACGTGATAATCGTCGAATCCATACCCGGCTGCCTTCCAATAAAAATATTGAGAATCAGAATATGTATTTATACTGGAGGAATCCGATGAGCTATGAAGCTCTTGTTCAACTTACGCACGGGATTCCGTTCCTGAGGCCCGTTCGTAAAGTACGAACGGTTTGTAAGTCGGGACACAAAAATTCACTGCATTTAAATGCCCATGCGATCAGTGTTCTCAATCGTGTTACGGTTCAACAATAAAAAAGGGAAGTGTTGTTACACTAATAAATAAGAAGAAATATTGTACACCTGCTTGTAATACTATAATAAATACTGTATAGTAAATCAAACGTAACATAAAGTAACATAAAGAGATAGAGAGAAAAAAATTATCTTAATTTTCAGTTATCTTGATTCCACGATTCTGGCTTGCTAATAGGAAGGGGTATTCGTAAGTCGAGGTGCGCTCGTAAGCCGATGTTGTTCGTAAGTCGAGGACTATCCGCACTGGACAATAAAGCGCCAAGAACCGGTGCGCGCGTCTCGAGCCACAATCGCTCGCAGCCGGCGCTGGACCACAAATCACCGCCGCCACCCGTCAATCGGTGACTCGAGAGCGACTGAGATCTCTCTCTCTTTCTCTCGCAGGACACTGACCAACGAACGCACGCCTCTGTCTCCTGCCCCCCCCTCCCCCTGCAGGCAAGTGCAGCCCCCCGTGCCAGAACCGTGGCAAGTGCGTGGGCACCAACCGCTGCAAGTGCTCCAAGGGCTACGAGGGTGACCACTGCGCTCGACGTGAGTCTTCGCGGGATCTTTATTTCAGAATCGGAATCGTCATTTAGACTGGAGGAGGAGGAGAAGGAGGGAGGAGGGAGGAGGGAGAAGGAGGAGGGAGGAGGAGGAGGAGGGAGGAGGAGGGAGGAGGAGGAGGGAGGAGGAGGGAGGAGGAGGAGGGAGGAGGAGGGAGGAGGAGGGAGGAGGAGGGAGGAGGAGGGAGGAGGAGGAGGAGGAGGAGGAGGAGGAGGAGGAGGAGGGAGGAGGAGGTGGGGAGGAGGAGAAGTAGGAGGGAGGAGGAGGAGGAGGAGGGAGGAGGAGGAGGGAGGAGGAGGAGGGAGGAGGAGGGAGGAGGAGGAGGGAGGAGGAGGGAGGAGGTGGGGGAGGAGGGAGGAGGAGGAGGGAGGAGGGGGAGGAGGAGGAGGGAGGAGGAGGAGGGAGGAGGGAGGAGGAGGGAATCGGGTTAGCTACGAAACTCTTATCTCACAGACGTCGAGTCGGGGCGGGGCGGGGGTCAGCGACTCGTACCAACTAAACGAAACAGACCACGATGTGGGAGCAACACCGAGGTAAGGGTACGGCAAGTGGAGAGACAGGTCCCAGCCGTAGTCGTCGTAGCTGACGGCGTCATCGCGAGCTGCGGCCGCAGCGTCGTCGTCGTCGTCGCCCTGCGGATGAAGGTTCCACTTTGCGGCGGCCATTCCTGAGGGATTGCGCGCGCGGAGCGAACGACAAAACGACAACGACGCCAGTTGGATTTGTCGATCGGTCGTCGTCCTCCACCGGGCGTTCCGTTGTCGGCCTGCCGGCCTGCCTGCTGAACCCGTGGTGGTGGGGCGCAGTGTGGGTAAGTCGGTGGACTGACCCTTGACCTATGACCAGATCACCTGCAATGCGCCCGACCTTGTTTTCATCATGGAACCAAAGAGAGGGGACGAGCCTGGTTAGCGCCTGGATGGGCGATGACCGTGCGTGACAGGTGCTATAGGCTGCCAACTTGGAAAAATGCGAAAAAGATCCATTGTGTCTGTGCTCCCTGCTGTCCCCAATCCGCACTGACCAGCATGGTGAAGTATGGTCAAACGACGCCTATCACTGGCACGGCGTTGGGGAAGCCCTCATCCAGCAATGTCCCATGAGGGATGCAGGTTGATTTACTTGATTTACCTTTAAATATGTTTCAACATACGTACTTTGTAAATCTAGATTTAAAACTCATTTCCATAGCACGGCTTTTTGTGTTTAGTTTGTTGTCCTTCCCCCGCATCTCGGATTAGCACGGTTGGCTACGTACGGCGCAAACGAAGTTAAACATTCATACACAAATAAATAATTTAGTTTCTGTAAGACTGGGCGGAGGGGCGAGCCAATCTCGTGTAAATGTCCAGCGATGCACCTCGGGTTGTTTGGCATCATGTCCGACGTCTCGCTCCACGTGCCGGGAGCTTCCTTATGCGCTGGGTCACTCCACGTCGTTATCAGACCGGGAGCCTGCCATAACCGGCGCAAGCGACAAAAAAACCTACGCTGTGAGTAGCACAAGCTGGAACTTCGCGTCCTTGGGGAAATCCCGTGGAAATTATGGCGCGTGATTCGACGCTCAAATCTTTCCGGCTCCATCTCCTCTGCGGATGTATATTTAAGCCGCACTCCTTGTCGGATATTGGCAAAAACAATTTTGCGAGACCCCCACCATCACGGACAGCGCTTTGATGGTAAATTGGTGGCAAAGTGCAAACTTTCCCCGGAGTTATTTTGAGGACGTTTGAACAAAAAAAAACCCGACAGCTTTGAAATTTCGTCGTCACGGTGCAAAACGAACCCCATGGGATGTGCTTCGGTTTGCCTTGCGAGACAGGCGCCGTCCGTGCGTGCGTGGCACTAGGGGAGCGGTGGCGCAGTGGTTAGCGCACCGTGCTACGAAGCTGGCGGCCTCAGTTCGATTCCTGACCATGCCTACACATCGCTGGTGTAACTAGTCGAAACTGATCCGTAGACTCTCGACGTGGTCGACTCAGCCTCAAATGAGGATCTGGCGTGTGGCGTAAACATCAGCGCTGAGGGAGAATGAGGAGGCCGTGCCGAGTGGTGGCCACTCATCCTATCGCGTGCCGTGCCGGCCTTCATAGGTGCTCGCCATCACCACTCTCCGCTACGGTCCAATGAGGCTACACGGAGGATCTCAGCCTTTGTTTGGTGCTTGCAACAAATGTTCTGTGCGGGCCCGGGCGGTGAGGGCTTTGAGGAGATGGAGAAGCCCCTCAATGTCCTCAAAATCCCCTACCCCCCCCCCCCCCCACGATCCTCCTCGTGTCTCTACCCCTGACAGCTCCCAACTCCCCTTCGCCCCCCCCCCTCCCGCCCCCCTCCACAATCCTGACCCACCCCACGCAACTCCCCCTCCGCCGTCCCCCCAAATACCACAACACCTTCAGGAAGTCCAGCAAACACGGCCGCATCAGTTGTACAAACAGCCGGATGCTTTCAACTGACCGCAGCTGCCACCGTGCCCCGGTGTGTTTTGTTATTTTTTGGTTTCCGTTTGTTTTGCTTTTCTGTTTTCGTTTAAGGGCAACGGATGATGGAGGGGTTGCGGGTTGGGGTGGTTTGGCCCGCACCCCCGGGGAACTGATGCATGGGACATGTCCCGGACTGACGGTGGCAGCCTGTGAACAGCAGACCCCCAGTCGACCAAACAGCAACTGCACCCACCGCCCCCCCCCCCCGCCCCTCTCTCTCTAAGAACCCCGCACGCTCGCTCGCTCGCCCCTTCTCCATCTTCCTCTTCTCGTCCCTCGGACTTGCGGTCCGATGGGCACACGAGGCCATTCCCTGCCACGGGTTACCTCCTGCAGTGCCTCTCTCCGCTGCTCGCGCTGCGCCTTCGGACCGTGGCGTGGTCTTCCCCGATCACCTTCCAGTCCTGCCTCCATCGCCATCCTCCGCAGGCGATCTCCATTCATGCCCGAAACATCGCGGCGTCCCTGCACTGGGATCTGACTCGGCAGCTCGGATTCATTGCTCCACCTCCGTCCTTTCGTGCGAGGCGCTCGTTTCAAAAGGCGGCGATCACTGCCGCCCTTTTCCTTCGTTGGGGGGGGGGGCGAGTGGGGGGGCGAGTGGGGGGGGGGGGGGGCTCGGTGTGACGTCACAGAGCCATCTCGGAGTGGCGAGACGCGGTGGGAATGCCCGAGCGGGGTAAGAAAAAAAGAGTGTTTTCTGGTCTTCGGTCCGGTGGCGGATTGAGGCTTTTGTGTGTGTCGCGGCAGCTGCCCGGCGGGAATCGGGGCGCGTTGTTGGCTTTACCGAGATTCCAGCGTGGCGCGAGCGCAGGTGCCGCGGACAAAGAGGGGCCCCCTCTGTGCCGTGGCTCAAAGGGGGCGAGGGGGTGGAGGAGGAGGGAGGGGGCAATCCTCGCGGCGGCCTTGATCCTCAGAGAAAGTTTTTTTTTTTAAACCGCAAACACTAAAAGGGAAGAAAGACAAAACCTGTTGCGCTATGATGACTTCCTCGTAAAAAAAAAACTGCGAGCGAAATTTGGCCTCCGTCTAAGCGCCGTTGCTTTGCGCCGTGACTCGAGGAGACCACACAGGGCGGCGGTGGAGGAGGCTTACAAAATGACTTTGACGAAGAAAGCAAGAGAGGGTGGAGGGAAGGGGGAAGAAAAAAAAATCACAAATGATTAAATTTATTGCCAGTAACGGCTCGCAGCTATTCAAATGTCGACGATGTATCTCGTTTTTACGAGCCCAGGTCCATGAGAATTCTGCAATTTCCCAAAGATGGATGGTGTGCAGGTGCCAACACAAGGGAAGGGATATTAATATAGTAGGAGGAATAAATAAACAAATAGGCAATAACATTTCACACAGGCTGCACGGCTCGCCGGCAAGGACCTCTCCACGGTGCCACGAGCTCATGGTGATTCTCAAAAGAAAGAAAAATCGCAATGAATAATAGATGCGTAGAATTTACATTTAAATTTGTACCAAAAAAAAAGATGTGATTTATACATCTCTGCCGTCGCACCGCGTGAACTTCATAAGTGTGAAAAATTGTGCGGACCCAAAATTGTATTTCAAAGCGCCGGGTTAATTTAAGGAGCTGATCGTAACGCGTCGCGCAGAGCTGCTGAATTGTGCAATGCCCGCCACGCGCCTGCTTTGTTGGGGTCGCTTCAGGGTTTATGTTAGGGGCAGGGTTAGTCTCGCGATTGTGGTTCGGGCCAGGGGCCATGGTTATTGTCAGGGCTATGGGCTACGGTTCGTGTTCGGGGCTATGGGCTATGGGCTACGGTTCGTGTTCGGGGCTATGGGTAGTTGGTAAATCTTGGCTTAGAGTTAATGCTGGGGTTAGGCGTTAGTATTAGGTCTGGTAGCCATAGTTAGGGCTTGGGTTTCCCTTCGGGTTCATGTGCTAGGATGCTGGCTAGGGCTAAGCTTAGCGTTAATATCAAGGCTGGAGTTAGGGTGAACACGAGGGGTTTGTGCGAGTACCCGGACTTGGGCCAGTGCTGGGGTTAAGGTCGGCAGCGAAGGATCGGGCTGGCTCATGGCTCGGGATGGGGCTCATGGCTCGGGATGGTGCTCGGGGCCTCCGTGTTCGGCTTCGAGTCAGTGAGAAGAGGTTTCCCCCTTCTTTTCCGGCAACAAAAACAGCCGTGTTAAGATGTTAAAAACACCAAACTGAAACCTTTTTACGAGGAATCAAGTCTGCATTAACCACGTGTGGTCATACTCTTCGAGTCACTGTTTGGGTTTCCAGCTGAAGCCTGCCTCCCAGGACTGCGCCGACGTTTCGAGCCGAGGCCGGGACTAAGTCCGCCGACGCGCTCAGGGCTCGGGCCTCTGCGGGGAAGTTCGCGGGCGCGCGTTCACGGAGCCGCACGGGCACGCGCGCGCGTGAGACGTTGGGGGGCGGGGGCGTAGAAGTGGGGGGGGGGGGGGCGGCGCCGAGATGAAAGGCGTCCACACAGGCGGAAGCCATCAGCGAGTGGCATGTGATCAAAGGGCGACTGAGCATCGACCAGAGTGAGAGGGGGGGGGTACGGGGAGGTGGGTGGAGGCGGGGGCTCTGGAATGTTTGGCTCCATGCACCCAGAGGGGTCCTGCGCGCGCGCCACCCATGCGCAGCCCCCCCCCCCCCCCGGATCAGCTGCAGCCGCCGGTCCCTTTCAGCGGCTCGCCGTGTCCCCCCTAAACCACCCCCCCCCCCCGCTTTTGTCGCCCCTTTCTTTTCTCGTCGTCCTCCCACTGCGGAGGATTGAAAGGGGCACCTGGCATCCGCGCAGGCCCGTGGAGGGGATTGTGTCGACGCGCTCTTATCTCTCCCCATTCCGCCACTTGGCGAGAGAGAGCGAGCGAGGGAAAGAGAGAGGAGAGAGATGCCCACTGATCGATTCACGCGGTTCACATGGGGGCGACTTCAATGAGTGAACGCCCGTCCGCTCGCTTTCACGGCTACCACCACCTCCTTTTAATCTCTCGCCTCCTCCTCCTCCCCCCCCCCACGACCCTCGATGATGGATGATCGGCTGCGGTGGCGAGACGCGGGGCCTCGACTCGACCGCAGGCAAAATTACCGACTCCGCTAATCTCGGTAGCCGTGAGAGTGCCGCGCGGCTGAACTCTGACACGGTGGTTTGGGAGGGGGGGAAAGTCGCCAAAAGAAGTGTATGTAGGTGTGTGTGTATGTATGTGTGTGTGTATGTGTGTATGTGGAATTTCTTTCGCACCATACGTAGCCAACCGGGGGAAGGACAACAAACGAAACACAACAAGTTTTGTCCTAAAGAAATTAGTTGTCAATCTAGATGATGATTTGAAAGTGCATGTCTATCCAGTGGCTTCCTAATATCGGAAGGAAGAGCGTTCCAGACGGCCTCAGAAGAGCATCTGGAAGCGCCGCGTGATGCAGTGACCGCCGCCTTTGTTCGACGGCTGAGCCAAAATCCGCTGCTGCTGCCGCTGCTGCTGCTGCCGCTGCTGCTGCCGCTGCCGCTGCTGCTGCCGCTGCTGCTGCTGCTGCCGCTGCTGCTGCCGCTGCCGCTGCCGCTGCCGCTGCTGCTGCCGCTGCTGCTGCCGCTGCTGCCGCTGCTGCTGCCGCTGCTGCCGCTGCTGCTGCTGCTGCTGCCGCTGCTGCTGCCGCCGCTGCCGCTGCCGCTGCCGCTGCTGCCGCTGCCGCTGCCGCTGCTGCCGCTGTCGCTGCTGCCGCTGCTGCTGCTGCTGCTGCCGCTGCTGCCGCTGCTGCTGCTGCTGCTGCCGCTGCCGCTGCTGCTGCCGCTGCTGCTGCTGCTGCCGCTGCCGCTGCCGCTGCTGCCGCTGCCGCTGCCGCTGCTGCCGCTGCTGCCGCTGCTGCCGCTGCTGCTGCTGCTGCTGCCGCTGCCGCTGCTGCCGCTGCTGCTGCTGCTGCTGCCGCTGCCGCTGCTGCCGCTGCTGCTGCTGCTGCTGCCGCTGCCGCTGCTGCCGCTGCTGCGAGGGTGAGCGGAGTTCGCGTGACTGTTTACGCTCCTTGACGGAGATCAGCGAGGTAATTGTGGTCCGCTCGTGGCAATCGCTTTCTGTGCGATTAATGCGACCTAACACAGGACGACGAACACACACAAGTCGCTCGATCATCGCTGGATGGAGCCGAGAGAGCCGTCAACAATATCACGAGACAGATTGACCAAACGTGACGCCAGCAGCAACCGACGCAGGGACCCTTGACCCAGGCGCGGACTCGCTCCGAACTCTGCGTCATTGCCCTCGCCGCAGGAGGTCGATGCCGGGCCGCGGCGAGATATTCGGAGCGCGACGCCATCGTCCTCACTGGGGGAGAGACCCCCAGAGAGTCGCTCGGTCGAGCAGCAGCGCGGCCGGGTTGATGCCGTGGACGTGAACCGTGGCATGTGAACGGTGGAGGTTAATGGTGGGACGTGATCGGTGGGACACCGACGCAGGGTGCTGCTGTCATAGCCCCCAGCAGCCGCCGTCTCCCTGGACCACATGCAGGGGAGAGCGCTTCGGCCAATTAAGCAAACCGCACTTGTGAATGTAACACGTAGCAGTCGTCGAGCTTTCGCGACCGATATTATCCAGAATAGAGGTTTTTTGGGGGTTAGATCGCGTAAACATATCGACGCCGATATAACCCCCCAAAAAAACTTTATTATGCTCACTTGTGAACATTGAAAATTCATCCGGGGAATTGGCGATATGCGTAAAAAAAATCGAATTCATGCATTCGGCAATAATACTTTGTGTTTGACCTTAAAAGTAAAACAAAAATGTCGACGTTCCGGCAACGGCCCTAAATCCCCATACTGACGAGTTGTCATCATCAGCAGCAGCCATCATCAATCCACTGCTGGATGAAGGCCTCTCCAAGCCATAGCCGGAAGCTCTCACCATCATGCGATGTAAACAAACTACTGGGCATCTGTTTAAAAAATAGCTTTATAGCTCATCGGATTCCTCCAGTGTAAATAAATATTCTGATTCTGATCTGCACGCGAGCCGATGTCATTGCTCCATCTCCGCGAAGGCCGCCCTCTACAGGGGAACGCTCTCAGCTGTGGCTGCCACTCAGCCGTGAGCTTCGACCGCTGGACATCGTCTCTGCTAGCCGGGCCGTGTCCTGGCCAAACGCCACTTACCAGACACTGTGATGCTGTGATGCCTCTCTCTCTCTTAAGCCTTCTACGTTGGTCGTCCTGTCAGGCAGCGCGTGGTGATATTCCTCTTCGTTCACGATCGGTTCCGCTCGGAGGAGCTCGTCGTGTGAGTACAATGCCATTGTTTAACGATAGCCCTCCACCACCCAACACAGGCAATGGATGACATCAAGCCGTAACGCGCGTGGCAAATATGCACATCGATTTGGTTTACGAACAAAAAACCGGCATGCTGAGAGGCAAGCCCAATGTTGACAGTTTCGCGGTTTAACGGTAAAATATTGGCATTGTAACCGCACAGCGATCTCACCAAAAAGAAACCAACCGCGAATGATGACATCGGTCGTGAGTGGCATACACGGGCATACACGTGTGTGTGTGTGTTCATCAGCCTCAAATGAGTACCTGGCGCGGTGTGCAGTAAACACCACCACCACCCTGGCCATGCCGGACTCCACAGGCGCTGCTCGCTAACAGCACTTGCCCCAACAATGTGCTAAAGGCTATACGTGGGGGGGGGGGAACCTTTGTCTTTGTGTGGTGTCTATGACCCGGGCTACATCGTTTGCCGACGCCGCCCGACGCTTCATCCACCGACGCCGCGTGCCGGGCACGAGCAGCCGTGTGCTGGTCGGGATGTGCCCCCCACGGATCGTGCGTGGCCCCCCGCGTCTGCCGCTGCGAGGAGGGGTGGCACGGGCAGCTCTGCGACAAGCGTAAGTGTCGCGGGCACGCGCGCGTGTATGTCTGTCTGTGTGTACGTGTCGGTGTGTGGGGGGGGGGGTGTAGCGGTTAGCGCGCTGCGCTGCGAACCCGGCGACCCGAGTTCGATTCCCGCTCACGGCCAATACTGGTGACGATTATTTGAACCGGTCCTGGGCCTCTCCTAGGTCGACTCAGCCTCAAATGAGTACCTGGTGCGGTGTGTAAACATCGCCACTAGGGAGACAAAGGCCGGACTTCATTGGTGCTCTTGCCCCAACAGTCTGCTCAGGCTATACGGGAGATATTTGTCTTTATGTATGTGGAACTTCTTTGGCACCGTACATAGCCAACCGTTCTAATGGGAAGGACACGGGCCAGAGCTCGGTAACCCTTAAGCCTCATTCGAATGGGGCCTGCGATTGCCTGCCCATGCCACTGTTGGCTGTTCGGCATCCGCGAGTACGACTACGATTACTCGTGATAGCAGCCTCCTTTATTTCAGCACGAGATGGAAATCAGACCCACTTCGGCACGCGACGCAATTGCCTCTTTTGCGTCCAATCGGAGGCAGCACCTCCGATGAGCACGTACGGTGCGAGAGAAGTTCAACATACATACATGAAGCCATTGACAATACAACACCACGTGAAACAAAACTAAAGACACTTGAAATGTAACAACTCTCAGCCGTGTGTTTAACTCAATCGAACCCTCCTCTCGAGGTTTTTCAGCCTCAGCTTCCACCCTGACCAGCCGTCTTGCGAAATAATAAAGTCCCGACCCAGGTAGACCTTGTGGATGCACACGAACTGCGGGGTGCCCACCTACGCGGCTGCCTGGACGCTGGCGGGGCGGAGGGGATATTTTGACGTTGATATAAACTGCAGCCTTTAGTGCTGCTCGGAAGCGAATAATCAAATACTTGTTTCAATGCATGCCTATGCCGGTCAATGGGGATTACCTGTAGCGCAGACAACAACAGCAGCTACTGCTATTCTATTGCACGCAAACGACAGGGGGTACGAGAGCAATGTGCATGCACAATGTGCGTTGATCACCAAATGAATAACCCAACCGGCAACGGATACCCATTGTGATTTAGATGCATTCACTAATCACCGCCCGTTCGCACGTGAAGGGCTCACGAGTGACATCACCACATCGTCCCCTCGATTCAAGGAACGAAATGGGATGATTTATCTTCATCAGGCTTGTCCGCCTGATGAAGCTAGTTGTAATTTACTGGCGAAACGTCGTACTCAGTTTGTAAATGTTATGGCTTGGCTCTCCAACACCCCGGTTAGTGCTGTACTAGTGACGAATTGTCACGTTCTGTTTACGTGACAACCCTTACTAGTTGGCTGTGTCGGGTGGTGGCGGGTTTAACGACACATTGATATATTTACGCGATCTAACCACAATAAAACTTCTCTTATGGACGTCTGTACAACGTTGTGCTACGTGGCGAGCGACGGACGCTCTCCCCCTCCCCGCACCAACTCACTGCGTCCGGCAGCCACGAAATTCGCCCCGCGTGCCGAACCGCGCGTTGAAGCAAAACTGCGCCCGCGTCGCAAAGGCGCCCGGGTATCCCCCCCCCTCCTTCTCCTCCTTCTCCTCCCTCGGGGACGATGAGGAGGACGAGGAGGAGTGAGGAACGAGTGAGGAACGAGTGAGGCGGGAAAGAAGGAGGTTCGCTCCGGACAAGCCGCGTGTGTTTCATGTGCCGCGGGCGCCATCGGCGGATGAGACTCTTTGCGCTCGCCAAACTCTCGCCCCCCCTCCCTCCTCCCTCCTCCCCTCGTGGACTCCGTGGCAGGCGCCTCGATGGGCCCGCACAAGTTTGGCGGCAGGAAGAAGGCGCTGCCACCGCCACCGCCGCCAGCCAAGGTCCTGCCAGAGGACGACACCCCCAGCGACTCCAACTACATCTGGTAACGGCGGCCGTGGGTGGCACGACCCCCACCGGCCCCCCCTCCTCCTCCTCCGCCGCCGTCGTCTCTCCGTCCCCCGAGACTCGCCACGACCCCCACGGCGCAAGACCCCCCCGCGCTCGCACGGCACCGGTGGCCTCGGCGGGCAGCAGCTCTCATCCCCCCTCCATCCGGCTTCGAGTCGTCGTTACCCCGGCGCAATCTCTCTCTGTGTCTCTCTCTCTCTGTCTATCTGCGTGTGTACTGTTCTATACCACGTGTGTGTACTGCTCTATAACACGCGTGTGTACTGCTCTATATCACGTGTGTGTACTGCTCTATAACATGCGTGTCTACTCTATACCATGCGTGTGTACTGCTCTATAACACGTGTGTGTACTACTCTATACCACGCGTGTGTACTGCTCTATATCACGCGTGTGCCGTTCAGGTTCTGGGGATTATACGTTGGGTGTTGAGATGGTACACGTTGCCCATAAAGAGGAGCACAGTGGGCTCGCGAGCGTTCACGGGTTACGGGACTCGACTCGCGTGCGAAGGCGAGCGGGCGAGTGGGCGGGAGTGGGAAGGGCGCTTCGCTGGAAGGGACGGATGGCCAGCGGATAGCGACGGAGTGTAGCCGGAGAGAACTCCCAGCGACAGAGACGGAGGCATGGACATCGGTGTGGGTGGTTTCATGTATTGCGGGATTGCGGGAGACGGCAGCTGCTTGGGGAGGAACTTCATCCAGCAGTGGCATTAACCGTGGCCGCTGACGGCGGTGATTCGGTGCCATTGAAATTCCCTTTCGGCTGTCGGGCAGCCTAAAACGAGCGAGTGTTTGTCTTGTTTGCTTGCGAAGAACTAGCTACCCTCTCAGCCGTGCGTCGCGAGCGTGCGAGTGGACAGAGAGTTGCCGGATGTTGAGTGAACTTCTGTTTTGTATTTTGTGTTGCTGTTGCAGTGTCTCATTGTATACACCGCAGCGCACCACGCATGCTCAGATCTTCTCCTTCGTCGCGTCTCCTTTCCCAACCTTGATGGTCTCTTCCCAGCAGTCTGCGCAGGCCACACCGCCTCTGATATCGGCATCGCCAAAATGTTGAGGAGTTAGCACTGCGGTTGCTGCCGGGCATCTCAGGAGATGACCCCACGTGGCGTGCTTCTGCTGACAAGCACATTGGTCGGTTGTGTAGACGCCATCCCACCCTCGCGGCCCCCCCCCCGTCCCCATGATATCGTGAGCGATTTGAATCTGTCGAGATCCACTCTGGGCGCGCTCAAGGCAATGCCGTGGCGTGACATCGTAAAGGGGACAGCCCTCGAAGTGGCGCAGTCGCACCCAGACACATCTCTCTGCGAGAGGGCACCGGACAAAAAGGCAACGGTCAATTTGCCTTCTGGGCTTTTATCGCGAGACCGGAGGCTGGGGGGTGGGGGGGGGGCACTCATCTCTGACGCGGCCCTGAGCCAGTGGTGGAAATTCCACGTTCCTCATACAGCTTCCAGTCTCATGCACGGGACAGGTGGCACAGCCGAGATGGGCCCCACCCCCCCGTGCTGTGCGTGACGGGGCAGACGCCGTCTCCCGTGTTACCTCGTGCTGCTTGATGAAGACGGTGTTTGGATTAAAATGTTTTTATTCTTTAACACGGTCTTGTTTGTGGGTGGGCGGGGGGGTGGTTGTTATTTTATTGCTGTTCAATTTTTTGTGTACACTGAACGCTGCTCATGTTACTGTAGACGTAGTCGCGTGTCACTTATACAGAAACTGTATTTAATGTTGCTCAGATATCTTGGACGCAGCGTGCGCAGTGTACGCACGCTCAGGTCGCTCATGTCGGCGTTTGGACCCGAAAAAAATTAACCCGTAAAAACAAAGTTTTTCACTATAAATCCTTTATATGCGTGGCGGCTAGAGTCCTCTCGTCCTCTGGCTTGAGATGGCTGCCACCTATGGGTCAGATGATTGTCTGCCACCATTAAGCAATTGGTAATTACATATAATTTTTTTTCCTAAAAAGTGTAAAATTTTTGGAAAAAAATTTCACGAAAATTAATTGTCACGCACAACGAGTCTGTGTGCAAAATGTCAGCTCGATTTGATCACGGGAAGTGGGTAAAAAAACGACCGAAAAATTTGCACGGTCGTAAGCGCGCAAGCAAGCAAGCAAGTGAACTTAATATAAAGGATTTAAAAAAATGTAGCACAGGTGGTACGGTTGGGTGAGGTCCGCCTGGGAGATGGCTAGCAGATGCTACACACTGTCACCCCCCTCCCACCCCCGCTCTTCCAAATAAAAATAAAAAGTAAACCTCTCAATAACTTTTTTAATACATCTTTCTCAACTTTAACTCCGACATTTTATTCCAATTTTGGCTGCCATTGGCATGAGATGAAGAAGTATCGACTCACAATCCTCACGCGAGCGTTGCCGTGAAAAGAGATTTCACGGTGCGAGTTATAAGGTCCTTTAAAGCGACCACCTATCCACCCATAAGGTTGATACAGCTGCTCAAGCACCTTGCTGTAGAGATCTTGGCCGCATGACAGTCAGACCATGATACTTTACCTTCTCAAAAACACAATTTTACAAGATCAAAAATTAAATAAAAATTTGCGATCATCTTTGGCAACCAAGATGAAACCATGAGCCCGGTTTCATCACGGCCGGCCGAGACCCAGATTCAAACCCAACGATCTCAGCGCCACCAGCTCCGTCCTCTGACCCCCAGTGTACCGTGCCACCTCTCAATAATTCAGTAAGCCACTAAACGGAGCGGACAGGGGCATCCTATGTAAGGCGGCAACGCCATTAGGATTGGGATGGCAAGGGCTGCAGTGCGCGTGGCTTTGGTTCTCATGGCGAGTGATGAGCAGGGAGGATTCTCCATAAATCCGATATTTATCCTGAAGCCCATGGGACTACACATCGCAGATTTCGTACTGCACAATGCAGGCTGTGTCCAGCACAGGGGTGTGCCATCATTGCCATTCTCAAGCTGAGTAACGTTGTCATCAAAGGCTGCTGTTTGTTTTAAATACAAAACTTGTTTTTTTAATTATTATAATTATTATAATTGTTATGATACTGTGTTATTAATATTAATTATATTATTGTCGTTGTCACCGTCGTGGTTCTTTTTTGTTTGTTGCAAAAGTTATCCCTTAATATATCACTGCTGTGGTGGCGTTGTGTTGACGCGTGTAGCATGGTGTTTTGTATGTTATTTAATAAGCGTAACAATGGGGTTTGTAGTGTTCGTTGGTGACGGTCCTTGGGCACGGAGTTTCCGAACGCATCGCATGTAGGCTAAAGTCACGTGTCACAGGGACCCGTGGGATTGTATCGAGGTGAAGTGTATCGAATTAAACGGCGGGCACCCCGCGCGCCCTCAATAAACATGTTCGTGCCCCCGCGTGCCCTTTGCTCGGTCTCTGTCGCGACGCAGCCGACGATCCGTCTCGCAGACAACCGAGAGGAGAGAGCGAGAGAGACACACACCACGTGTGCGCGCTCTGCGATCTCTCGCTCACGCAAAAGGAGCCTTCCTCGAAGAGGGGAGCTCTGGAGGGTCCCTCTGGAGCGCCACTCTACCACGCTGAACAGGGATTTGACAGGCATCTCGGGAGAAACTAGGGTGGGTGTGTGGGTGGGTGGGGCCGGGTTAATAAACTTCATCTGATAATTGTTTTTTTACCCTTCTATCTGGCAACAAAACTGACACCTTTTTTACAAGGAGTCATGTTTGCATAGACCACAGTACCGTGCAGTCATAATGCAAACAAAAAACATAACTCTGATAATGTGCTTCAAGAACAGTGCACATTATCAGAGTTATGTTTTTTGTTTGCATTATGACTGCAGGTATTGTGGTCTATGCAAACATGACTCCTTGTAAAAAAGATGTCAGTTTTGTTGCCAGATAGAAGGGTAAAAAACAATTATCATATTTTTTTTACTGGCAAATGAGGTTCCAATGGTGTAAACTTGCATCTTTTGTTTCAATTGCCGTGCCGCGAAATTTTCAACTGAACCGGCGACCACCTATACTATTAGCACGGTTGGCTACGTACGGAGCGAAAGAAGTTCAAAACAGGTACATACATGCACTGGATTGCAAGTCAAGTGTGCTGATCATTCCGCCATCCGTTACATCCATTAAAGATACCCGCTGTCCGTCAGAATGTCTGTGAATTATTTTGTGAAAAAACCGTGACTCCTTGCCGGACTCCTCTTGAAACATGTATGTTGTTCAAATGACGATGCTTACCTCGGCTAGTATTTGAACGTGGATCGGAGTCAATGTATGTGTGTTTGCTGATCTTCTTTCGCACCGTATGTAGCCAACCATGCTAATCGGAAATGCGGGGGAAGGGTAACACACTTAACACAAAAAGCAGTTTGAAAGTAATGAGTTTTCAATCGAGATGATTTGAAAGTGCATAGCTCCCAGTGGCTTCATAATATCGAAAGGAAGAGCGTTCCAGACGGCCGCAGAAGCGCACTTGAAAGCGCGCGATGCGGTGACCTTCCTTGTTAAGGTGATGGAATAAAGAAGTGAGAGTGGATTTTGTGGAAAACTCAACTTGATGGCGAAAATCAACGGAGTATTATCCCCAGATGAGACTTTTAAACCAGTGCGAATTTAATTTTATGACATACAAGATCGGAAATACGGACGCTGATAAATAGCATGGAATGAAAGTGGAATAGTGTGCAAAGAAATGTGGGGAAATGCGTGCTTGGAATCGCAGCAAGAGAGAGAGAGAAACTGGAACTCATGAATCAGAGGATATTTCTGTACTATGTTGAACTTATTTCGCACCTGTAAGTAGCCAACCGTGCCAATTGGAGGTGTGCGGGAAGGAAAACAAATAATAATAATAATGACAACAACAACCGCCATTCGCCACTAAGTGGCGGTGATGTCACCATGGCACTTATGCCAGGCTATGTGCACGTTGAGGCCACGTGCAGTGTCTGAACGCCCACCGGCAGGAGGTCACGGGACAGACCCAGGTGCCATTGGTCGACTGACTGAGATGACTGGCCGATGCACCACCCGTGCCCCTTACTGTGCAAACTACTATAATAATGATACACCACCCGGGAAAATATATTTATTTACATGTGGTCCTCCCCTCTTCCGGTATCGAGAGATATCCCCGCCTCATGATATATCATTGTGTTCAATGCGCCACAGGCATCAGCTTGTGCCATCCTAACGAGTTGCGTGGGGAGATTTCCCTGGCAAACCTTTCACTCAAGGACTTCCATGACAGCTCTTTCGTTCAAGGACTTTCACATATTCACTTTAAGATGTTTTTTGTTCATGTTTTTGTTTTTTGTTTGTTGCGGTTGCACCCGATTTAAGAGCCGAATGGCTCACAGGGCTATACCAAATAAATGGACTTGAAATTAACTTGAACTTAAGGTGGCAGGGTGCTAATCCAAGGTTCACTAAGCACACAACAGCAAGCCCCGTTCCAAACAAATGCGGGTCATAGAGGGAAAGGAAAAGTGAGGGTGGCTAGGGCAGGGTACTCCGCTAGAAGCGACGATGGCCGTGGGTGTTGAGGCTGACGCCGGAGTGACAGCCACAGGAGGCGACGCGCCCCCGAGATGACGCGCACAAGTGAAGATGGATCGAGATGATCTGCGTAATCGCACAGACGGGGATAGATGGCGAACACCCCCCTCCCCTTCTGGAGTCCTTCATCCAGCGGTGGATACATCGTGGCTGCTTGCTTCTGACGATATGATTATGACACATTTCAAAAACGTTTCAGAAATGTAAGACAAAACCGTCACCCTCCATGCATACCGTGACTGTCCGTGCCGGTACGGACACCGCTCTTGCAAGAGAGATGATGCATTCGCACGCGCCGTGACTCGGCAAAATCATCGGAGTCGCCAGTCGACAGGACGATCCGCTGATTTAAATCGGTGACAAATGTCCTACGGCACGCATCACAAACGTGGACGCGAACGAAGACTTGGATAAGCAAATGGTTGAAGGCGCAGGCCCTGCAAGTGCTCGCTCACAACCAACTGCTGGCGACAGGGGCCTCGACTAGAGGGAGCTCTTGCAGCGCCCCTCTGGAGTGTATTTAGCCTACTCTTCCACACCGGCGTCGTGGAAGCGGTGGGGGTACGTACCCACGTTTCACCCCACCACATACGACCTGCCGATCATCGACTGCCTGTGATTTGCGCTGCACCCGTTTAGACCGTCGAGTGGACATCTGGGCCGCACGTCGTCAGCTGACCCCCCACACCCACGGCGGAACCAACTTGCAGGCCGCGGAACACCACGGGAAAGTAAAACATTGGAATGATGCGAGTGGCCTTCATATTCCCTTTAAAGACAAATGTTTCACATCGCTTACGCGCCTACCCCCCCCCCCCCCCCCGGGCTCACAAGAAACCGCTGAGCTGATATGAATCCGCAAAAGAGGGCTTGTAAAATAAAATGCAAAAACACAGTTCGTTGGCGCCGGCTGGACACCGTATCCCGTTCACGTTTATGGAAACCGATTCTTCCTGGACCCATCATCATCATCGTCGTCGTCATTGTCGGGATATTAAAGCGGAGGAGCGCACGTTCAAAGGGTCGGGGATGGTAAGCAGCCTAAAGAGGCCTGTTTATTTAAACACTTACAGCTGACAGAGGCCTTTTGATTGTACGGAGAGAAGTTTAAAAAAATCCTTCCTTTCATCTTGGGCCCTGAAGATGGATGCAGTCCCTCGGTTCTGCTGAGCCGATTTCCAAGCGGATCGTTTTGTTGTTGTTGTCGTTTCTGCTCCACGTTCCTCCCGTGCTGCCCCCCCACCACCCCTCGGCGTACCAACATCGCAAGAGGGGGGGGGGGGGTCAACCTCCTCCACTCGGTCACTGCGAGCCTTGCAAAGCCCCCCCCCCTCTCTGGCTTGCTTCGTACGTCTGTGTTTGTGTGTTGAACTTTGTCATACCGTACGTAGCCAACCGTGCTAATCAGAGGGGCGGAGTGGTGAGTTTATGGGCAGTGTTGCGTCTGTGGGCAGTGTTGGGTCTGTGTGCAGTGTTGAGTCTGTGGGCAGTGTTAGTCTATGGGCAGTGTTGCGTCTGTGGGCAGTGTTGAGTCTGTGGGCAGTGTTAGTCTATGGGCAGTGTTGCGTCTGTGGGCAGTGTTGAGTCTGTGGGCAGTGTTAGTCTATGGGCAGTGTTGAGTCTGTGGGCAGTGTTGAGTCTGTGGGCAGTGTTAGTCTATGGGCAGTGTTGCATCTGTGGGCAGTGTTGAGTCTGTGGGCAGTGTTGAGTCTATGGGCAGTGTTAATGCTATGGGCAGTGTTAATGCTATGGGCAATTGTTGAGTCTGGGCAGTGTTGAGTCTGTGGGCAGTGTTGAGTCTGTGGGCAGTGTTAATGCTATGGGCAGTGTTGAGTCTGGGCAGTGTTGAGTCTGTGGGCAGTGTTGAGTCTGTGGGCAGTGTTGAGTCTGTGGGCAGTATTAATGCTATGGGCAATTGTTGAGTCTGGGCAGTGGTGTATGAATGTTGAACTTCTTTCGCACCGTACGTACCCAACCGTGGTCATCGGAGGTGCTAAACGACGTGGCTCAAGGAAGTGGCATCGCCACTGGGGAGACAAGGCGGGCAGGCGGGCGTTGTGCTGGCCATCCAAAACCCCTCGGGCGCCTTCTCAGCCTTCATAGGTGCTCGCTAACAGCACTTGCCCCAACAGTCTGTGAAGGCTATACGGGGGATCTTTGTCTTTGAATGCGCGACAGAATTGTATTTACATTGAACTTCTTTCGCACCGTGCGTAGCCAACCATGCTCATGAATCCGAGGCGCGGGGAAGCTCGACAAACTAAAGACAAAAGCATTTCTAAACAAATGAGTTTTCAATCTAGATGATTTGGAAGTGCATAGCTCCAGTGGATTCCTAATATCGGAAGGGAAGAGCGCGTTCCAGACGGCCGCTGAAGCGCGTCTGAAAGCGCCGCTCTCAGCCAAGAATCCGCTGCTGCTGCTGCGACGAGGATGACGAGCGGAGTTCACGAGATGGTTCACGCTCTTTGACGAGGTGAGCGAGGTGTTGGGGTTCGTTTGTGGCGAGCACTCTGTGTGTGTCGTCGTCGTCATCATCAGCGGCGGCAGCGGCAGCAGCAGCAATGATCAATCCGCCGACGGCCGCCGCTGCTGCTGCGGCTGCTTTGAGTTGAAACGGAATGCGATGCGACGGATCTGTCCCGGTGTAAGGCAGCGGCGAATGACGACGTGGGAAGTGCCCCTTGGTCTCCTCTTTTAAACACAACCCTCCCAAGGTCGTCTTCGTCGTGGTCGACGTCTTCCAATCGCCCCTCGGCAAAGAGCTTCATGGGCTGTCACTCGAGGATACAAACTTCTGAACTCTTCACTGGCTTGGATTTGTT